AATCCAGTCTCGTGGTTGCCTCAGAGTGCGCTTCCGTTGACTATAGGATGTTTTACTGCCGGCGTGTTCTTTGCTGAAAACCATTTTGCATCTTTGAGGAATTTGTGGGGGTGGGGGCCGTTGATGTAATTACACAATTTGTGTTAATATTTGTTTCGCGTAAGCTGTGAAGCAGGCCTCCCAGAACGAACACTAATTGAGAAAACCGTACTGCTGAGATGAGCGACAAATTTATACTTTTGATTTAGGGTCCGTCGACAAGCTCTCAGGGGCCTGGGGTGCCTTCACTTCGCTATGCTCAAGGCTTGAGAAAACCAAAATACAAGCACAGTTGCTGTCATTCTTTCTGTGGTTTGTTTTTAAGTTTTCATTCTCCTTAATATTTGTATTTTAACTGCCTTTCTTGCAAACAAGGATGGTAGCACATGCTTCTTTAACCTAAATCTAATCATTAAATGCTGATGTTACTTCTTTCCATCTATCCATCCACCCTTCATCTACATGCACTTACACACACACACATTTTTTAAATGTAAATAATTTTTGGCAAGGAAATTCCAAAGTCTGCCTTTGCTGGGATAAAAGCACATTTCCTACAGGGCACAAAAGTTGGCATGTCGAGGGTTAAAGCTATTTGAGGGGTTAAATATGCAATTATCTCTGACTAAAACCAGAGAGACATATAGATAAATAGAAGAAATGAAGTCCCCAGGTTCCCTTCCGAAGCCTTCATCACATTACTCCTAGACAGAAACTCTTTAAGTACCATTTTCAGATGTTAAATCATTGTTCGTGCTGCACACATTCTCGCTACTCCTAGGGGAACAATATCTGAAGAGAGCGTGCTAACAAATGCAATCCTGTAAACAGGCATTTTTCCTCTTGTTGTTAGTGCCTCTGTCTGCCTGCTCCCGGCTCTGTCATCCATGCCTTCTCCCTGCTTTGAAGTTAAAGTACTGAATGAGCGACATCATCTATTACCCAGAGCGTGCATGTAGATTATAAATAAGAAATAAAAGTGACTTTCAGTACACTGCTCTCGCATTAACAAGTTGTCTTCTCTCTTACCTCCTCCTGTCCTTCATACCTTGAAACCCACCATCTATTAGAAAAACCTGGATTTCTGGCTTTCTTTCAGAGGGAGACAGAGACTAGAAAACGTGTGGCAGAGACGTGGAGAGGTCTGCTGACACGCACAGGCTAGGGTCCGGGCCAGCGCTCTGAAGCCAGCTTCCCTTCCTCCTTAACCCTTATCTTGCAGATGCCCTTCAGGAGAGTGGTGATGGACTGCCTGCATTTAAATTTTTCTGTTGACAAACAGAGTCCATGAATATTAATTATTCTGAAGTTTATTTGCAGAAAAGGCACTTTCTAATCCTTATTAATTATTTATTGAAAATCTCCCCCACCTAATAATCTCATTAACATTATTATACTAAGGCCAACAGCAAATATTCCTTTGATAAGTAACAACCCAATGGTTATCATCCCTACCAGATCTCAGGCAGTCTCCTTTGCTTCATCATGGATAACCTGGCTTTTGTTTCCAGAAGGCTACATTTTTCTAATGAAAGAAAATTCATACACTGAAATAGGGTGACTTTTGTTTTAAAACTGAAAGTTTGATACACTAAAAAAAAAGACTGAAAAGCAAAACCTTAGGAAGTGTATGTATGCCTGCTTTTTGACCCCTGTTATGTGCAGAACTAGTAAATGGAAATCCCAAGGGAACAAGAACCCCCAGGCACGGAGCGTGCCTCCGGGGAAGGCATCAGGCTTGGGAACAGGTGAGGGCCTGGGAGGATGTAATGCAAATGCAAACCACATCTCAGGAATGAAGACACATTTTTACACTGTTTCGATGCTTATGAAGCATTTTGACTTATGATACCTCACATTTGCTTCCCCTAATGCCGCTCTGAGGTGAGCTGGAGAGTTACTATTAACTTCAGTTTACAGGTAAGGAAACAAACCAGTGACTCCCTGAGGTCCATGAGAAACAAAGGAGGCAGGGCCCAGACTACATTCTAGGACTTCCGTATCCCAATCTGCTGGCTGGTTCTGCCTTCAAAATGAAGATTTCCTCTAACTTCTTCCCATCTTTTGGACCCGCTGTTGGTGTTTTAAAGGACATTCTTGCTTGGAATTCCATAATCCCCATGGGTCATGTATTAGGTACTACACCTTCTGAAAAATCACCAAAGCACCAAATATCTATAACGGCCTGATTTCTAAATTGATCAACAACTGAGACAAGCAACAGCCTACTATTTTAGAAGCAAAAGGAACCTTTGAAATGAACTAGTTTCCAGAGGCTCAAAGAGTGAGTGACTAGCTACAAGTCACCGAGTGAGTTTCAGCAGATTCGAATCCAGCCTGGCTGGTACCCACATCAATGTTTTTGTACCAGACATGCAGAGCCCTGGCATTTTCTAAACTTGAGCAATCACGTCCTTTTTCTCTTGGAGCCAGGGGTCAGTTGTTGTTGTTTTTTTCTGACACAGAAGGAGTTTCTCATCTATTGCCTAAGAACATGAGTCAGTATCCCTGAAAATTTCCGAAAAACTGACATGATTTGATAGGAATATTCAGCCAGGAAGACTACACTCCAGCTTCCCTTTCTTGACCTCAAAGTCACCCGTACCATTCAACCAACCTCACACCATTTACAAAGTTTCTAGAATGGAAAGACTCTCAAAAAAAAAAAAATTTTTTTCTTTCTCTTTGGTGTTTTGGTTTTTCTTTCGCTTTGCCTAAAAACACTGCAAGCATAAAAGAAAATGTTCTTTTGCTGCAACATACTCGCTGTTCCCCTGTTAGTACCACTATACATTCCACACAGGAGGAGGTCAAGCCTGATCAAAAGTTAAGATGCTACACATTCCAGGTAGAAATCCAGGGAAAAGCAAGATGAAAGTGAGGGTGTGGGTGATAACAGCCAGTTCAGCAAGACTATAAACATCTGGAAAAGAATGACAGAGGTCTCCTCTGGCAAGTCTGAGAACAGGGAGATGGAGAGATGAGGGCTGAAGTCACTTTACAAGGGATGGCTGGAGTATTCTGGGAAGCTTCAGCTTCTTTCCCAACAGTGCTCAAGAAAATGTGGGCTGGCAGTAACCAGGATAACCACAGTGAACGAGGCTCTAAAGGAATGGTTATTGGGAAACAAACCATGGTAGGAAGGAGGGAGCTGGGAAGAGTTATGTTTGTTGTTTTGTTTTTTTTTACAGACAAAAGTGAAAAAAGAAAAAGTCGTCCATCTTAGAGCATGGTGTGACTAGCTGAGGAAGTTTACCACTTGCTACACAGTAACAATTTCCTGAGCCACCCATCTATGCATCCTCCAGGGCAGGGGGCCAGTCAACTACTGCTTGTGGGCCAAATCAGCACTCTTGCTTGTTTCTGTAAATAAAGTTTTATTGGAACACAGCCATGACCGTTTATGTATTGACTATGGCTGCTTTCACACAGCACATTCATGACAGAGTAGCCTACAAAGTCAAAAACACTATTTACAGTAAATGTAAGTTTGCTGATCCCTGCTCTAGAAAGAATAAAGTGAGGAAAAATAACCACTGCCCTGTAACTGATAACATTTTTACATACACGTGCATGTACACACACACACACACACACACACACAGTCACCCAGATACACCACATATACTGAACATAGTTTAACGGAGATGGTAACCACAGCAATGAAGTTTCTGATCTCATCCATCCTGACAGATCATGGAAGGGCCCACAGCATATACTCCAGCAAATTGCTTCTGAACACATTGGGGGCGTCCATGCAAAAGTTAATCAAAGGATAAAGCCTTTATTTTGTCTGAGCTTAGTTTCTTCACCCATAAAATGTGAGGCTGGATCATCTAAAGAATTTTTAAAATTCTATGGCCCTACAGAGAAAGGAAAAGAAGAAAAGTGGACACACACATCTATACTTCTGGGATAGGGAGTGGAGGTAGGAAGGAGAATGGAGGATACAGCAGACACTGGGTATAATCAAGTGGGTATAGAAAACTGGGACAAAGGGACAAAAGGAACTGACTTTTATCATTCCTGAAGGACGTACAGGTTCAGAAAGAACTCAGCACCTATGGCCAGGGATAGAAGGAATGCCCTACTTTGACTTCATAAACAGCTGTTAGGAGAGAACAAGGTTCTGTGACAGCTGGAGAAGAGGTGGGGACCTGCAAGGAGACTGGGCAACCTGGGACCTGCCCTGGACTTCCAAAGTCACTTAGGAGGCGAACAGCTGAGCCACCGCGAGGTGTGTGTTTCCTTCAGTCCCTCGTACTGGGAACTGAAATACCTTGGTTTTCCTCTCCAGCCCGCCAACTGTGTCTCTTTTTGCAATAACAACAAAGATGTGGCCACAGAGACATCTTTGAGGAATGGCGGTCCCTTGCCGCTCACACAGCAACCCCAAAGTGAGCAATTTTCAAATTACGACTGTTCTCTGAATAAAACCGCTTTTCAGCCTGCTTCACTGCTCTTGCCAAAAGTACACCATCAGTTTGTTTTTAAGGTGAGTGACTTAAAAGAAAGAAAAAAAGAAAAAAGAAAAGAAAAAAATCCTCTGGGGCCTGGTATCTGGGCGTTTGTGTTGATCCAGAACTGGGATCAGTGAACACGTGAGCTGATTTAATGGTTAAAGCCAAAACTGGGCAAAATCAGTCATCTTTGCAAAATAAGTCACGAACGTGAAGACTCTTTCCCAAACTGGGAACAGGTGCTGCTGGGGAAATGTACACAGTTTGACTTGTAGGTCATGAATCTTTAAAACTCCCACCCGAAGTCCTATCACGCATCCTTCAGTGAGTACTATCTTTTATTTATTGTGCTAAGCAATCGTTCCTTGTTAACTACTGTGGTGCTGGGTGTGAGCAAGCAGGTGAGCCACAGGAACATTCGCACAGAACGCTCCGGGAGCAAAGGACATTCTGTCAACAGAGCTAGTCACTCTTAAAGCAAAACAATTCACCCTTCCCGATATCAAGACCACGAAAACAATCGCGGTGACTGCGAAGGACTCGCTCACTCATCGGTGAGACTGAGAGAATAATTTCTTCAAGAAACACAAGGTACCAGAAATATTTTACCCAAATACGTGTTTGTTGGTTGGAAGAAGGGTTCAAACCTGTTACATAATACTAAGAAAATATACAAGGCATTCCCCCGGTCCTGTCAGTCGGCGACAGCTGTTCAGGGCTTTCTGGAGAAAGTCTACAGCTGAGGTAGACTTCTAGTGGTCTGTGCCCAAACATGAGAGCTTCTAGTGCCATGTGCCCAAACATAAGAGCGATAAAGGGAAACTTTTCTGACCCCAAATGGCTGCTTTTAAATTGTCTATAAAATATCTACTGCAACCACCATCCCTTGCAGCTTATTATGTGCAGACTGATCGATAAATCCAGACTTCCCATTTCGTAAAAGGCAACACATCCAGCCCTGACTGGGGAGGGGGACAGCCCTCTGGAAGGCAGTCCGGGCTGGGGGCCACAGCTCAGACCCAGCGGAACCCTAACACCCTGGCTTCACTGTCTGCACCACGTTGTCGACCTCCTCACACTGCCAAATTTCTGTCATTTCTCGATTAAGACAAAAGCCTTCCAGTCGAAGTGTTTTAGAAACAGAAGAGAGTATGCTCATTGCTGCCTGGACGTGCCCAGCTTGGGTGCTCCCGAGAAGGGTGCAGGCAACAGGTAGGAAGCATGACCCTCCCTGTGGAACAAAAAGAAACAAATCCAAATGGCAAAGCACAGCTGCTTAAAAGGAGGGCCACCCTGAAAACTGGCAAGGGTAGGAACTGAAGTGCTGCAATGGGAATATTTTGTCATTTTCTTATTGGACTCAGCAGGAGCAGATGGGATGAAATGGACAAGTTCTGAAGGAGACAACATTTTAGGGCCCTCACGATGGGGAAGGGGGCCAAGGAAAATGGGAGAGATGCTGACTGTCACCACAATGCACACGGTGAGTGAGGCTTGCGGGAGGAGGGGAAGAGTCTGGGCTGCGGGTTCGGGCGGACGCGGTTGAGAGGCTGGACTTGTCCAGGGATGAGCTGCGTGAACTTGAGTGGCTAGTTAAGTTTCTTCCTGTGAAGGACAGAGGTTTTAAGAGTACTTAGCTCATTAGGTGCTTGTGAGAACAAAGGGCACTAATCCGTGGACAAGTACTGAGCACAAGGCTGGAAGAAAAGAGCTTTCAATAAATGTTGCTACTGACATTACCACCACTTCTCATGTCATTGCAACTATTGATGTTAGCGATTTCAAACCTCTAAAGATCTGCGACAATAGGGACGTTTAAGATTTCTAATACAAAGAAATGCACTCATTTATTGAAAAACCTGTCATCATGCACTTTTGAATGTTCCCCCCTAAAAGTAATTTTTAAGAACTGTGCCTGGCAAAGCTGGGAGAAGGTAAAGGGGTGAAAGCTAGGAAAATAGCATAATTAGACCATAAACTGTGAAATTTGAAACTAAGGACACAAATTTTCCTCTCAAGCTATCAACACAAAACATGAAATTGAAATTAAGATTAAAAAGGAAGCCTCTATATATAAAATAATCAGCCCTAATAATTCCCACTGATAATTTTTCATCCCACTGCTAAAATTATCCCAGTGATAATTCCCACCAGACATTTTTTAATCTATAAAGTTCCATGGTGGACACGGCAACAGGGACATGTAAGAATATAAAGGCATGATTCCAAAAAAAAAAAAAAGCTAAAGATGTCCACCAAAATGTCAACAGTTGTTATCTCTGGACAATGAGACTGCAGACAGTGTAGTTTCTTTTTTCTCTGCTTTCTGAGTTGCATCTTCTAATTTTTCTACAATGAACATGTAATTAATTGTGCTGTAGAAAATTTAAAATTATCTGGTATTCAGTTTTCAATTGAAAACATCTGAATGACACACAAACCTTATACAGAGCCAGTACTGAGGATTTTACTCTCGGCTTTGGCACTGGGATGCCGGGATATTTCGTAGGCACTGGCAGAGGTAAGTGACTGCCACAGCAGCTCTTCTAGAACATTCAGCAGCCATTCCTAATTGTGCCACAGTCTCTCTGCTGATTATTTTATGTGGGTTTCACCAAATGCACCTATAGTTAGCTACACTCACAAATTGGAGGATCTCCTAAAATTCTGGCTAAAAAATAAACACTCCTCAACCCCCGTGGCTCTTAATTCTTCAGAAACTTCCCCAGCCTTCCAGAAATCAAGACAGGCCACAAGAATCAAATATTATCTCAGACTAGAACCTAAACGGAGACTCATCAGCCTAGGGAAGAAGCTATTTGCTATCCTGGTTCTAGGTACTAATCCCATGGAAATTACACACAGAGCACAGCGAGGGGCACTGGGACATAAAAATCATTGCCATGTGTAAAAATTTAGATGTTAAAAAAGAAAATGCAGGCACAAGAATTTAGCCAGAAAAAAAAAAATAGACATAACAATAAAAAAACTGCTTCTTAACATTTGGCTGGCAGCGTCCTTCCCCTCCCCAATGGATACTCTTAGTAAAGAAAACATGGTAGGTTTTTTCTCCCTTGCCTGTATTTGATTTCCAATTAAAATTAAATATAAACTGAAACGCCACCTGGATTTTAGCAAAATCCAATCCCCGCCCTCTACCGCTCCTTTTTCTTAAAAGAAGAACCTGGGCTTACATATACAAACATTCTGCTAAATGACCCGTGGCAAATTGCGTAATGCCAGTAAAAGTTGTGTTTTTTAAGTTATGAGCCCCAAAGATTTTATCTGAAATAAAACCCTGATTCAATTCAGATTCTGGAGGCTAACTGTGTCCTTAACTCTGCCTCTAAATTTAAAACATTTGTGTGGGGGGCCCCTTCAGTACTGTTGCTAGTAGAAGGTATGGAGTAGAAATTCTGTATTTATTAGGATATGTGTTTTCTTTTCTAAACTGGTAAATTGGGGCACTAATTGCCTACAAGAACTGATTCTCTGCAATCTTCATGTAGATGTCAGTTTCTAAAATGAAGAGTTTGATTGTCAAATAGGACTGTGTGCTTTTAATTAATCATCTCAATGAGGGAAGACACAAGAATTCCAGTATTCACAGATGAGGGTTCTCCTTGGCGTTATCCAACATGAATTTCTCCAGTGCTCTAGGGTGACTGGATTTAAATATAGAGTGGGTGGAGTAGACTAAAGAATAGAGCAGTCCTGAGAAACAACATGTTTCCCTCTTGACCTCTATCTTTGGGTCCCTAAGATTTCAGTCATGCCTTTTCCCTGTCCTCAAAAGATGCTGAGCAAGGACAACTGTGTGTGAGCACATTTTAAAGGACTGACTCCTGTCTTAAGGCCTTTATGCACATTATTGAATGTATTCATTCTATAAACCCCCTCTGGAAGTATCTCGAATTGTGCCATTGCACGGATGAGAAAAGTAAGGCTCAAAAGATGGGCATCACTAACTTCATTGAGTGCTAGAGATGGGTTTTAAACCCTTGTCTGTACGAGTCCAAAACGTCCTAAATGAAATATTCCTCCTGCCTTTTCTAGCTCCCTAAGGAAGTGAAATAAGTTGACTGGAAACAGCATGTACTGGGTAAGCAACTAAGAATATCTGTATATGGTCATCAATACAATAGGTGAGGAATATCACAAAGGCAAGGGAGAGACTTGGAATCAGAGAGTTTATCAATATGCATGCTCTTCTTATTGACAAAAGATTGATTTTGTCACAAACTGATAATGTTAGATAATGATGGTTAGTGGCCATCAAATTTGATGTTAGCGGTACCTGCAAGTTGGAAAACTGTGGAGAGAGAGCTCTAGGGCACAGACAAGTAGGTGCTGAAAATTTAAAGTGCTATGGGACAAACTCTTTTAATTATGAAAATTTTATCCCCTGATTCGTGCAAAAATTTAAAACATACATAAAAACATACTTATATAAGTCTGGCTCAAAGGGTAGGTAGTCTCTGCCATTTATATCCATCTCAAAAGTTGTCAGTGTGAGTGCAAATTACATTAATAATTTATCCTTCTTAATTGTAAAGGAGATGTTATTGTAGAAATTTTAGAATATACAAAAAACTGTAAAGTAGTATGAAATAAACCACAATCTCATTAATATATGAAAATAACTGGTAACAATTTTTACAGGCTTTTTCTGGATTTTTTCCCCACCCATCATTATAATTTTTAAGGTCATTAAACCCTTCTGTAAGAGTGTGATTCTTAATAGGTACCCAATATTACATAAAACTTACTTGCAACCATTTATCCAACTTGTCTTCTAATGTTAGCAATATAGGGTTTTTTTAATTTTTCATATTATAAGTATTACCATAATAAACATCTTCATGTCTAAATCTTTTTGTATACTTCATGTGATTTCTGTAGGATAAATTCCTAATAGTGGTGATGATAAAGAGTAACAACAGCTACTGTTTACGGGACATTTCTATGTGCTGTGCAAACTTCTGAGCATTTTACATTATACCAGAATATTAAATGCTAATATTATTCCCATTTGATGGATGCATAAACCGAGGCACAGAGAAACTGACTTGCACAATCACTCAACTAGATTGCAGAGCTGTGACTGAGGCCAAACAGGCTGGCTCTATGCCTATGCCTTAAGATGCTCTGCCTTTTGAGTCTTTATCTAAGTGTGATCCTCCAACTCACAGCAGAAACCGGGTTGAAAGTATCAGAAATGCAAATTCTTGGGCCCCAATCCAGGGGATCTACAGAATAAAGTACTATGAGGTGGGTCCAGCAATACATGTTTTAAGACACCCTTCAGGTAATTCCAATACACAGAAAAGTTTGAGCACCACTGCTAAATGCTACACAACCTCCCAAAGGGTACTGCTACACCAAAGGGCGTGCTGCACAAACTCACACTCCTATCGGCGACGTACGTGAGAGTAGCCACATTGTATGTATCATGAAGTGTAATCCTGGCAGATTTAGTCAAAGCTGTTCCAACTAGCTTATAGGGTTCTGTAGTTATTAAAAACTCAAGATTGAATAAACCCAGTGATTCCATTTCAATAGGCATAGAATGGCTCTGAGGACCTGTATGGAGGGCTTTATATGACCTTACTTTCTAGAGATTTCTTCCGAACTGGCATTTATTAGCACTGCATTTAAGATATCCAGGAACTAATTCTAGGGACACATTGGTAAGCATTCAAAGCCAATAGAGGAACCCTTTTCCAAATTAAAGATAGGCTACTAATATACTTAACATTAATTAAACACAGAAAAATCTAGGAACATTTGTCAAAATACTGAACCAGCTAGCAAATCTAATTAATATGCGGTATGGACTGCATAGTGTTTTAATTGAGGGATGGGGGTTGGGTCATGATGCACATAAACCTGAAATTGCAAAATTACACAAACACACACATACACACACACATTTTCCAGATCAAAAGATGCTAGGGTTTCAGCAGCTTCACCTAGGAGGGACCATAAACCTACAAAATTTAAGAATGATTGAATTAAACAGATGGCCAATACCCACCCACCTAGAAGACGGAAGACATTTTCATTAATTGTGAAATATAATGGTAAGTCATCTGATAACACATTTAAGAACAGAAATATTTAAGAACATGAAAAGAAAGAAGAAAAGCAGAAGGGATAAAATGGAAGGCCAATGCATTTCCTAGGAAAGATTGTCACTTCATGAACAGCTGGGTTGAACACATGTTTTGAAAGTTGACAACTATTTTAAAATGAGGTAAGACAGCTTCAGTCATTCTAGCTGTATGACGAATAGAGGTGAATTAGCTACCATTCAATATAAAAATATGTGAAATATGGACACCACCAACCAAATGACCAGCCTTGTCAGCCCTCATCTAATCTCTGGAGATCATACACTCAACTCAGGCAATGGTCTGTGTAAACAGATAGGCCCGGGCCGTTTCCTGGAGACCACTGAACTCAGATGCTGGCATTCAGCAT